AATCACTTTTGCGGAAAGTAATGATCTCCCTTTTACAGAAGCTATCGCAGACGTTGATTTCGAGAGTACGGTTTTCGACACCAACAGTTAGCCCCCCAGTCCGCAATTTCTTGAAGAAATTTTGCGGTCGGATGAAGTTAGGTTTTAATCGGAATCTACGGCTGAGATTCGTCTTATTGCGAGGGAGAGCTCTCTTTTTCTATAAGTATTGGATCATTACTTCTCATATCTTCCATCTTTCAAGTTTCTCTCCAACTTCTCTCTAGGAAAATTCTTAAGATGTCTTCTTCCCAAGGTGATCAGCAAAACCATGAAGTCCCATCCGGTGACAATCTTCCGGCATTTCCGCAGGATGCTCGGCTTTCCGAGTTTCTCTTGTTTCAAGATGAGATGGATCGTAGCGACGCTGAGGAAGATGCCGTGTCGAGTGACGTACCTCCAGTGGATTCGTCCGTTCTTGCAAGAGAAGTCAAGGCTATTTTAGACGAAACGGCGGATGCGGTAGTGGGCTCCTCGGCGGGCATCGCCGCTGAGGTCGGACTAGCCGTAGCCCCCGCCATGATAGAGTCAGTTGTGTCTCCAGCCGTGATTGAACCGGTCGTGGCTCCTTCCGCCGTTGAATCAGTTACGACTCCTGGTGCGGTTGATCCAGTTACGATTCTGGGACCTCCTGCTCCGGTTAAGAGGGTGATTGTCTTGGGGCTTCCGGCGCTCAGCGCGACGCTGCCTGCTTCAACGAAAAACCGCAAGAGAACTCGTCCGAACCCAGACGTTCCTGCGAGAAAGAGAGCCGTAAAGGGTTCCGAGACCGGGGCTTCGTCTAGCAAGACACCGAGCATGATGTCGATGTCGCAGCAACGCACCAAGGTACGGGTTCGCAATCATACGTTTTTAAAGATTATGTTCGCAGCTGATCGCCTTTCTTGGTTTTTACCTTTTTAGTTTGTTTCGTTGATCGATGGGATGATCAAAGAGTGCGGATCCGAAGTTGAGCGTTTAGCCAAAGAGTTAGCCGAATCGCGGGCGAGGTCGGCTCAGCTCGAAGGGAAACTAAAATCGATAGAAGAAGTGCATTCCGCGGAAGTGTCTCGACTCGAGGCTCGGATTAGCGACCTGGATCGTGACCTTGGAAGGACCGCGGTTTCCCTGATCAAAGCGAAGGATGAGAAGAAGTCCAAGGCTTCGGAGCTACGTAGACTTCAGCGCAACATGAAGAGTTTCGAGGAATCAGCTGCCCGTGTGACGGAAAGGTCTATTCCTGTCGAGGGGAGCGATTCCGATCCGATTCTCGCTGCTGAAGACGTGTCTCAGCCTGACGCGGATAAGGGTGACGACCCAGAGGTTGCTATCGAGGGTGAAGGTAATGCGATGGATGAAGATGAGGCTCCGTATGCGGAGAATGTTTGAAGTTGTAGTCTCTTGCGAGACTTTTTTTTTTAAAATTAGATTTTTATGTGTTTGGCCGAGTGCGGCTTTTGTACGTGTTTGGGACTGGCCTTCTATGGCTTCGAATCCCCTGTTGCTTCGGCAACTTTTTATTTTCGTAATGGATAATAGGTTTTATTTGAATTTTCTGTTTTGAGTTGACGTTGTGGGAGGTCCGCGAGTTGTCGTCTCGCATTCCGTTCCCTTCGTAGATCGCCTTGTTCGTTTGCTCGTTTCAGGATTTTTAGTAAACCGAGTGTGCATTTAGATATAGACGAAGAGACATGCCTTTAGGATCTCAATTCATGCCTTGAGACGTTAGCGACCAGTGTGCTGGGTTTAGGGCAAGACCTAGGTTTACTTTCGGATTAAGGCTGTGCGATGACT